AAACATTCTAAAGGTATGGTATTCAGAGTATACAGTAGGGTCTTGACATCAGTGAATTTAACATTCACAAATTCGCTTATTCACGATTCAGCCTGGCCAACAATTTCTTGGATGGAAGAAGAGCACAGCAGGATGAGACTGTGCTGAAGGCTGTTAAGTGTTACTTTCCAGTTAGCCGCACAACAGACTTGGATCACGAATGAATCTAGCTAGTGAGTGAGCCTCTCCCTACCCCCTGTTCAAGTACCCACTTTCCAGCATACATATCTCAGCATGGTCATGTTTTTGTATGGTAATGAACTCTCCCAGTTGTGCGCCACTTTTTAATTGCATTACAGTGGGGGGTGCTGATCACAGAGACAGAGACAGAGACAGAGACAGAGACAGAGACAGAGACAGAGACAGAGACAGAGACAGAGACAGAGACAGAGACAGAGACAGAGACAGAGACAGTCTGTGCACAAGACTGGATTGTCAGTGCACAAGATGAATAAGGGCAAGCACACCAAATGCCGAGCAGTGATTCATGCTATCTTAACTGATTACTATAAGCTCCTGATTACTTTTGTTTCTTTTAGCTGATCAATGTTATTGAAATGATCATAAACCCAACATATTAGAACTTTAGTTATCACACAAGGGAGCATTACTTATGTATTTTAATCATACAAACCATATACTACAGTACATCATGCAACGGTTTATTTGTGAATCTGGCTATTGGCAACAATTCTCTTGCGTACCTACTGTACTGTACACCACCAACAAATAAGAATGGGAAACTGTAACTTTACCTGCACAGAATGGAAAAGACCTGTAGGAATGTTAGCAAAAGAAACCAAAATGGTTATGGACTATTTTCTTTCCCAGTTTGTTGGGGCACCAAGAAGGAATGCTTGTATACTGTACAGTATATCTTGTTTATCTTTCAAACAATGGAGATTCAGGAAGACAAAAGGAGGTGAGAGAATCATTAGGGAACTCTGATAATAATGTGAATTTAGGCTGTGAAAGACTGCAGTTCTGACTACAGTGTCTAGAAAATAGCAATAATAATACATTTTATTTTATAAAGCGCCTTTAAAAGTGGCTTTGAAATTTAGTTTGAAACTGTATTGCTTCAAATCAGGAGTTAAGGCAAACAGACTTTTAGGAATAAGAGGATTTAGGAGAAGTAAAATTGGATAAGGTTTGCTCAACATCCCAAATTTATCCCAATAGTAACCAGATCAAAAGGTTAAAAAAAAAAACAGAATTTCTATTAGAAAAATATAAGGCAAAAAAGCTTTAGAAAGCTCTTTAGCTCTTTAGAAAATGAATAAAATAAGACGAGGTCCAGTTAAGGACGAGCAGTACAATGAAATCCAAACTGAGGTATAAAATGATTTTGGAGAAGCCCAGACAGAGGTGGAAGGGAATATTGCAGTGGAGGTTAAGATATTTTCTTTTAGTACTTTAGTACTTTTAGTACTAGTAGGAAGCTGCATCAGCATGCGTAGTCTGCAAAGGAACAAGAAATGGTTTATTCCGTGCTGAAAATAGAAGAAAAGAAACACAGCGTTTCGATTGTGAAGCCATCTTCAGGTGTGAGAAAGAGGAAAATCAGGGAAAAAGAGAGACTTTCCTCTCTTTCTCAACCCCGAAGAAGGCTCCACAGCTGAAGTGCTGTGTTTCTTTTCTTCTGTTTTCAGCATGGAATAAACCTTAACCCATTCCCTAGGTTCTTTTAGTACTACAACAGCAAAAGACACTTTAAGGATGGAATACAATATATCCAGGACAATAGTGGGAAATATCCAGACAATGAAAGAGAAACAAGAATATAGTAAACAAGAATATCACTCAGGTGTTCACCAAAGAAGAAGCCAACATGCCTCTGGTAGAGGAAGGACAAAGTTCTGTATTAAGCAGTATAAGCATAGGAGTGGTAGAAGTGTTTCTGATATTAGAAGCAGGCCTCATTAATACAACTCCAGGGTTCAATGGTGTCCTACCAATGGTCCAGAGGAGGGGCTCATAGGAATACCCTCCTCTGACAGGCTGAAGGAACCAAACCATTTTAATCTTGGACAGAAAACATTACCTGGCGCTTTAATCCCCAAAAGCATTGACAAAGTCAACTCAGAAGTGGTGGACATCACCCAGGTGTCCCTGGTTTCTTCCACAAAACAACTGGGCTTCTATTACCAAACAAGCTTGACATACAGAATGGCATCCCCTCATTTGTAACTACTTTTATGTCATACAGTGCTACCACATCACTGAGATCAATTCCTATCCACTAATACACAAACGTCTGGGAGGAAGAGTGTAGAAGGGGGACAGTTAAGGTGAGGTCACTCGTTCACATTTCACAAGATTATCGAAGCATTCAGTTTGTGCTGTGCTGACTGAGCACTGGGAGGTGTGCCTGAGATAGTGATTTAAATCCAAGGTCCAGACATATAAACTGCATGAGCAAATCAAGGCCTCATTTCACATAGCACCACTTAAAAGCCTTCTACTGTAGGTAGAGCGTTTCTTACTCACAGTGATTCCCCACACAATGTGAACATGGGAACAGAAGACTTCAAAGCAAGATTCACAACAGGATAAAATGATGAATCGGACATGATCTGGTCTTTGCTTGGTTTTACATGTTGCGTAACAGAACAAACTTTTTCCTTGGATTGTAATGGTAAAGAGCAAGCCACTGTATCCATTAAACTGTGCACTGATATTGGCTTATTTTCAGTGCGCACAATGAACTAGGACAAGAAAATCAAATGCCTACCATCTCTGGGGCTTTAAGCAATCCCTACTATTTCAACTTAAAGGAACACCTTGTGGGTGGTGTTGTTTTGCTTTCTCAATCAGCCATATTGCTCCACAAAACTCAAAATCCTTGATCCTTCATTCTAAACAAAAGAGACCAATTTATCCTTATGTTGTTTTTATTGACGGTATGTGAAATATGGACACCGAAGAAAGCAGCCATAGCGGGCAGAGAACAATGGAAAGCATTCTTCAAAAAGTCGCTGGAGCAGCGTTGCTCTTATCCAGAAAAGCCGTGGGCCTGACATTCGTTGGAAGGCCAAGCCTGTTCAAACAGCTCACACTAGACAAGCCACACTACTGGAATCACAGTAGGTGGGGCCGGCAGTGATCTCTCGGGCCCTCCCTGCATATCTGTGCCCTTTCAGAAGGGGGAGAGAGCTCGGGGGAATCTTATCACTAGGGAAGACATCCAAACACAAAACCACGAAAACGCGAGGATTCTCACAGGGCTGGTAGTCATGCTGATTAAGAGATAAAAACACTGTTTAAGGTAGGAAGGCTCAGATTTTACACTAAACTGATTTTACTTGTGTCAGCACCCAGTCCCAGAGTAATCTAGTATGCATAACCACTATAATAAATATAACACATATTGCTTTCCTTAGATCTCTTAAGCAAAAGAATAAAAGAGGGATTTCCAGTGGCTCAGCCAGACCAGTTCCTGGCTCAGAGGGCCATGTGGATTCAATGGTACAGACGGTGTCATGTCAGGAGCCAACTGGGATTGGGATTCCCCGACCGGCAGTGCAGACCAGGGGCAGATTCTGGATTTGTCAGCTAGGTCTCTCTGCTCCACCAACAACATCCCAGGCTGAGCAAGTGTGCAGTGAATGTCCTGCCCGTCCCCGAGACGCTTGTGGCATGGGGAGAGAACGAAGACTTCATGGTCATAGGTTCGGGGGAGAGACAGGGGGGACCCTCCTGCACCCTCTCAATCTCGCAGTGTGGGTACAGGAGTTGTTACTGTACACTGAGTCAAAGACAACTGGCTACTCCAGACTGGGCGAGTCATAAACCATAATTGGTTTAAATGGGCTCATTTTTAAAAACAAATTAAAAACAACTCAGAAAACACCTCCTCTGTGATGCTAGAGTAAAACCCCTAACACTGTCTACTTGCAAAATCAGACATGCATCATTTATTGCCAAATAACGATGGACTCAAATTTGGTTTTGTTCTGTTAAGCGCTTTGAGAAGCCACTTTTAAAGGTGCTATATAAAATAAAGTAATATTATTTTAGCATTATAATAATTTCTAGACACTGCGGTCTTCCACAACCTAAATTCAGTTGTCAATTCTGAAAACACAACTACTGAGCTCAAGAGTTCAAACGCTGTATTGTAATTATCTTCTTCCTTATCTTACTCCAACACTGTTTCACTGACTTATTATCTGGTTAAAGTGTCTGTCATTATGTTGGAGTGTGCTTTAAAACAAATGCCCCCATTGCTGGAAAGCTGGAATTGAATTAAGAATCAGATGAGGAGTTCATTTCCCAAACGCTGACTACCACATTTTCTGCTGTGAAATCAAAATGTAAGAAATGTTAAAGTTTAAGATGTGTGTTAAAGTTTGAAAAGGTAGACCATGCAATGACAGTCACAAGGAATTGAGTGTAGACACACGTAAGTCATTCATAATTCCTAAAATGACATCTTGTGAAACAATATATTGGTGAATACAGAAACTGAAATCTAGTACAAACATCTTATTGCGAACTATAGAAATACGCAAATCGTCTCGAACTCTAGAAAGTCCGAAGGCCCACTGAAGAGTTAATATCGCGCATTGGTTTATGCAAAAATCGTCGTTTACATGGAGAGCAGTTACATTAACAACCAGTTTTGCATTACAATTTAAAGTAATCTGATATAATGGAATACTAATAATCTATAGCCGTTTTACCCCCCAAAACACTTAAGCAATTCCTTCTTTCATTGCATGAGCTCCAGGCCTTTTCGACAACTTTTAAATTACTTCCTACTTTTCGGCCCAATGACATGAGAAAGTGTTCCGAGTGCACTACAATGTTAAATGATAGTCTTCTCAACATTAACATCATATCTATCATAACCTTACAGAATATGTGACAAACGCTACACCCTGCGATTCATAATTTAACTTCATAGTTCATTAAATTCCTTGAAATGCATATAATAGTTCTGCACAGCAAATACGTACCCCAAAGTGCTAATAAAGCCATTGACTGTGCCTTCCGCGTAGAGGGAGACAATATCCCCAATGTGAAGAAAACTGGATCTGTGCTCAGACATTTTAGTTCATTTTTTTTATCCTTTCTGAAGTCGAGATCAATACGGTTTTTGAAATTCCCTGCTCGTGCTCTCGCGGATAATCGTGCAACGCTAAGCAACCATTAGGTGTCCACAGAGGAACGGTGCAAACTGCCTTCGGAAAAGTGCCGCAGTTCTTTTTCTTTTTTTACTTCATCCGATGCAGAAGCGACACAGCTCCACAACCAGAAACCCTCTCCATTGCATGCCAGCACTCCGACAATGTCTGACTTTGAGAAGTTGTTTCAGCCTGTATCGGCGCAGACCATACCCCTGCTTCTTCCTGTGGCAGCCGAGTTTGGTCTCTTTCACATTCACGGCGGGGAGGAGACTTGACTGATGCCAGCGGTAAAGACCCTATCAATGCAATGAAGGAAGTGATAGCATACTGCTGTGGAATGTTGCTTAGGTGAGTAGGCTGTCACCTGCCAGTGCTACTGAACTGTAGCACAGGCACAAATGTCTGAACTGAAGAAACCCAAAAGGACACCGGAAAAATTAAACAAGATCGATACAAAGTTTCAAAACTCAGGACACGTGATCTGCCTTTCTTACCCACCGAATATGCACGGACTCTCTTATTAGTCACACCTGGAAAGAAGCACTATTAATAAGAATAAGAATTGCATACACTTATATAGCGCTTTTCTCCACTCAAAGCGCTACACAGGTAATGGGGACCCCCCTCCACCACCACCAGTGCGCAGCCCCACCTATTAGCACTTAACTGTGGATGTTAAGTTGTTATTATAACGAATTTGTCAAGAACAGGCGTGTTTGTACTGTAGCTGTCGTGAATCTGGTAGCATCAGCTGTCCCCTTACCTTTTAGGTGAGCTTGGATCGATTGTAAGTTGAACTAGTGCATTTCCTTTTTTGTGGGTCAATTTTTATTCACTGTTTTGGTATGATAAATAAACCAAAAAGTTCCTAAAACAAATGACAAAAACATAAAAAAGAGAAGTAACAAAAAAGCTTCCAAATTTCCATAAAGTGCAGATTGACTTGAATAAAAAAAAACACACATCCAGGTCCCGATCTTCTTTTTTTCCCAGATTGTTTTTTAACATTTTAGAACACAAAGATTGAAAAACACAACAAAATGAAAGGTGGAAAACAGATCAGAGAATAGGGGACTAGTGAGGCAGTAAATGAATCATTGCATCCGTCCAGTCTGACACAGTGGACGTACTGTAGTTTAGCTGTACTTGTATCTCATAGGCCAAGACTTACAGTAAAAGGATGTAACAGGATAAATTGGAGGTATTTCAGGCACCACTGCTCCCCGCAGTTAGACCCAGAAATAAAAGACATCATACTTGAAGATTGAGAATTGTCAAAGTGTAGGAATTATCTGGAGTCAGATTGGTGAACAAAGGTCAAGCAGAGAAAAGATGTAACAGCAGATTAGTCAATTAAGTAATTTGTCCAGAGAACAGCAACCAGAGGCATTCTTGGGCTTGTCCATACACTGACAGGCAGAACAAACTAGGAACCTTTTAAGTCTTAAACAGAACAAACTACGAGTGGAACTGATATAAATATTCAAAATCCTCAAAGGCGTGGACACAGGTGTGCTTTTCTGGACACTCCACTCAAAGCGCTTTACAGGTAATGGGGACTCCCCTCCAACACCACCAATGTGGAACCCCACCTGGACAACGCGACAGCAGCCATAGTGCGCCAGAACGCTCACCACACACCAGCTATCACTTGGGAGCAGAACAGAGTGATAAAGCCAATTCACAGATGAGGGTTATTAGGAGGCCATGATTGGTAAAAGCCCTGGGGAAATTTGGCCAGGACACCAGGGTGACACCCCTACTCTTTTTGAGAAACGCCCTGGAATTTCTAATGACCGCAGAGAGTCAGGACCTCGGTTTTGTCTTATCCAAAGAATGGCACCTACTGTAGATAGGTTTCAGAAGGTTTTTGGCCCGAAAGTGGGTTGGTTCTGAGTAGGGGAGGTAAGTCAGATCATTGGGTGGAGAGGGAGGTTGGGGAATTCAACTGAGGTTAAGAGCTCAGGTCTCGTTGGGCTAATGTGAGATAGTAGCCCACAGTGGAAATCCGTCCTAGTGCCGTAATGTTAGTTGCTAGAATAAATAGAAGACTGAGACATGAAGGTGTAAAATAGTAATAGACGCAGTCAGGTCTGCTATTAAGGTAACTACAGTAAGATGGTAGAGCAGACCTGCCCAAATGGGATCAACCAAGAATGGTTACTGTAACTATGGAGGCTACTGGGAACAGACTAGGATTCCTTTTCTCTCTTATCCCTCGAGGGGTCAGTTAACAACATCAGGTAATGAGTCCTGGAGGGGATTCATTATCCCTGAAAGGGGCAAGACAACTCAATTCAGTTATCAGTGTGAAAATCACCCAGTTCTAAATCCCAAAGGGGATTTTATTGATTCCCCAGTAGGGGAATAGTTAGATTGTAGTTATCCGTCGGGGGAACGTGAAGCTCAAAGGTTATAAACTCCAGTGAGAGTTTGAATTAAGAGAAGGTTAGGTTTTTTCGGTATTGCACTCGAGAGGATTGTGGCTGTAATATCTTGGGGACAGACAGGCTGGATAGGAGATATTGTCCAGAAGTGAGAGGTAAACACCAAACTTATCTCAGAGGAGGTTAAAACAGTGGGCGAGGAACACTAGAGACAGACAGGAAGATTGTCTTAGTATACCGAGAGGCTGCGAAACAACATTAGATACTGATTGAGGAAGTCCATGAGCAAAGGGATCACAGATCTTAAATTGTATTTTAAATCTTTTTAAAATTTCTAACATAATTCAATGTGATTGAATGAAAGAGATTACTTAGAGGACATGCTATTTTTATTTTCTGATTTCACCAAAATGGCCTCCTCTCATCTGCAACCAACAGTATCTGGCCTGAAAAGAACTCTTTACAGTTGAAGTTGACCTCTGATCATGCATGAAGTTGGACAACTGGTTGTGTCAACTGCTTGTGATTCACCATAAAGTTAAAGTATGCAAAGGGTTAGATTGAGTCATACGCTTAATTGTGGAGGTGTCATTCAAAGTAAAAGAATGGACATACAGTATAACTGGTTATGCTTGCTTTGGTGTTGTTTTAGATGAATAATGAGCTGAGGTCAAGAGATTTAATGCACAGTGATGGAATGATTACAGGAGTGATTTTTACATTAGAAGCATTATCTAGGTTCCCCTTTAAACATTCTTTACATTCTTTGTCTTTTTCGACATTCTTTTATCAGAGCCATCTTTCATTTTTGCTTCTGTGTACCAGTTCCACTTCAAAATCTTACAATTTTTTCTTCTTGTATTGCATGTATGATCTACTGTAAATATAAACACTTACTCTACTGATTGTTGAAGAAGACAGAAGAAGATGATTCCCTGACCCACTTAATTGACAGGCTACTAACACAAACAGAAATACAATAATTTTACAAAATGATATCAATTTATTTTCTTTTGGTTTATTTTTTGGTTATAAACAAGGATTGCACCTGTCGCAAATGGACCTAATCAGTTAGTCCAATAATTTAGTGTTGTAAAAAGTTTTCCTAGTTCAAACTTAGGAAAAATCCTGATTGTGGATAAAATATATGACATCACTACCACTGGGAAAAAAGAAGATACTATATTACTAACTGACCAGGCTGTTCACTGTGTGGGTGTATCTGTGTGAGTATCTTGGTGTATAAGTGAGTGTATCAGTATAACAAGCTTGCTCACCAGGTGGGTGTATCAGTATAACCAGCTTTTTCACAAGGTGAGTGCATCAGTGTAACCAAATTGTTCACCAGGTGGGTTTATCTGTGTAACCAGCTTGTTCTCTGGGTGTGTGTAGTGATGTGACTGGCTTGTTCACCAGGTGGGTGTATCAGTATAACCAGTTTGTTCACCAGGTGAGTGTATTTGTGTGACAGGCTTGTTCACCAGATGGGTGTATCATAACGTGTGAGAAGAGGTGACTGAGTTATCCAATTGTTCTGCAGAATTTATCGCTAGGAAATATCCTAAATTATTAATGGATAATTTAAGTCAATGGTTGCCACAGCTTCTAGTAAGAATCCATGTGTACTTATGCACCAAAGTCCAAAGTTTCTTAATATAACATTTATCTGTTTCGTGTTCTGACACTAGCTGTTGCTGTAGATTTTGCACATCATTTATTGCCTGTGTTCATAAAGTAGCCTTCTTTAGCCACACATCAAATAAATATTACGGGGGTGGATGAAAAGCAAACAAAAAATGCTGTCCAGTTGCTAAAGATTCTGATTTTTGCAATTTTATATTATTGTGAGGCAGATGCCAAACAATCACAGTCAACAAGATATTTAGAGGGAGGGAGATGATTAAAATAAAAATGTAACTTACACTTGCAGTATGTTTCATTTCACTGGTACTCAAAAGGCTAGACCAGCTTGTATGTTTAGCTGTGAACACTGGACAGGACAAAGATCACAATCCCTCTTCCTTTCAACGGTGTACAGTATTTCACAGTGTTATTGTGTTTCTGTGATTAGATTTTTATTTTTATTTTTAGCAGAACACCTGTCAGGTCTACTCCCTTGTTGATTGCCAATTGTTTCAACATTTAACACTATGGGAAACAGTGTTAAGTGACTCAGAAATCTAAAAGCTGTTTTTAAAGGACCAAGGCCATGCAGAGGAAGAAAGTGACATCACAAGGTCTCAGTATAAATAGCATGGATCCATTGTATATTCTACACTTAACTTTCATTTCCTTTGCAGATGTTTTGCATATTACTGTATTATTACTATATAATAGAATATTATCACTAATTAAATATCCACCCTTCTCCTGTACACATCCAACCTAATAGTGTCTATTGATAAATGTACAAGTCACAGTGCCTTATGCTTCACTTTACCAGAAGAATCCATTACCTAACTGTGTGTTTCACATCATGAGAAACCTTTGCCTGTCATTTCTGCAGATTACACGTCCTGCCTTTACCCTTATCATTCGACTGTCATGAGTGTCTTCAGCAGAATGTATTTAAAATAAGATGTATTTAGGGGTTCTAAAGCAAATATATAACTGTAATTACTTTCACAAGAATTTAGATTATGTGGTATTCATTTAAAGTAGTGTATTCCTTTACTCCAAAAGGCTGCTTTTGAGATTCAAGCAAAAAGAAACAGTTTGAATATGAAATATGAAATTTCCAGATAATGTATTTACATCAATATTCTTCTCCTTATAGACCAATAATAATTGTACACTTCTGTATTTCTTTGAGGTTTGCCCTTAAAACATAGGTCTCAATTAAAAAGAAGCATCAATTTAAATGTGTTTTACTGTGTTGTACTGATCTTGTGATTATGTGTTAAATAAGAATCATTTCTAGAACCATCTTGCCTTAAAATATGCAGAACAGTTATAGTTTAAAAATTAAATATCAGTTTTTGTGTTTTGCAAATATTTAATGAATTACTTACAGAAATTACATGAATTAATTACTTTCTCTTGCTGAGAATATGCTTGTGAACTCCCTGCATTATTTGCATGTTTTAGACCTAAAACATACTTACATCTTACATCTGTGAAATAAAAAAAAGATAACCTGATTAAATTTATCACACAGTAACATAAGAAACATCTAGAGTATTTAATTAACAGTATTATCCAATAGCACTGAATATGCACTGTTAAGGTGACTGGTGGCACCTCCATGAGCAGCAATGACTTCAACTAGATGTTTCCTGCCACTGTTTCCTGCATCAGTTTCTTACATAGGCCTTTAGGAAATGTAGCCCATTTCTCCTTACATGACTGCTTGAAGTCTGTGATATTTGTGGGCTGCTTTGCATGAACAGCTCACTTTAGGTCCTGCCGTAACATTTCAGTGGGGCTTAGGTCTGGACTTTGACTTGGTCAATCCGAAATGCAGGATTTATTTTTCTTCAGATGTTCTTTAGGAGATCTGCTTGCATGTTTAGAATGTGTTCTTGCTGCAGGACCCACTTTCAGCACATCTTCCGCTACATACTGTATACAGTAGATGGGTTGAGATTACCCTCTGAAATCTGCTACAACTCCCACAACTATACTTCTCAGTTCGGATGAGATTCCTCTGTTGGAAGGCAGTGTTTGCTTTTCTCCCACAAAACATGTTTATAATTGTGGACAAAAAATACAAACTTTGACTTGTCTTTCCAGAGAACATTCTTACAATACACGTGTAGATTGTCCAGGTGTTCTTTTGTAAAATTTAGAGGTTCTTTTTAGAGAGCAAGGATTTCTTCCTGGCTCTGGCTGTCCTCCCATGAAAACCATTCCTGTTCAGTGTTTTCCTGATGGTTGAGGAATGAACACTGACATTAAATCATTAGGCCACTGCAGATCCTTAAATTACTCTGGGGTTCTTGACTTCTGCATGATTTTCTTGGTTGGTCTTGGTAAAGTCGTCATGGTATTGCATATTTTTCAGTTGTAGACTACAGTACCTGTCTAGCTATGTCTGGAGCCCCAGATGTTTAGAAATGGTTGGGTAACCCTCTCCAGACGTTCAAGCATCAACTAGTCCTTTACTGAAGTCTCCTAAAATCTTCTTTTGACCATGGCATGATTTATTTCCACTACCCTCTGTGGTAAGGACCATCCTTAAGAAGTTTCTGACTGTTATTTAGGACAGGGCTGTCAAAACTCAGTCCTTAAATATTTTAAATCATTTTTACTACTTCAATCAACAATTGCATCTCAATAAACACAGTTGGTGGATAAAAAACTTTTGGTTATTTAAGAATTCTGATATTAACAAGGATAATCATGGTAAGAAACGGTAATTCTCATAATTATTTTGACGACTCTGAAACGTTTCCTTAGCACTGTAAATGTATTTGGCTTTCATTGTCAAAATATTCCTTACAAGCCAGTTTATTGATAAGAGTAATGTATCTTTGGTTAGTGTTAACAATGCCAACAGTTGTGTCATTTCCTGCTTTCTGATGCTGGTAAGACAACATCACTGAAGTCTTATCACTAGGACCTCAAATTGTGAATTTTAAAAGTAATCTCTCATTCACAGACTTTTCCATGCCATGCACTATTATTCCCTCAGTTTTTTTTACTCACTTTTTTTGAAAGTTCTCACTTCTGAAAATGTGTCTCCAGATTCTAAGGCACCCTAAATACATTTCACTGTTTCTTAATTTCATTACTTATACTGTAAAGTATATTGTCTGTTAATTTGTCAACAGAGTATTGACCTGAATCTCAGGTTTTTCAGTTTCAAAGTAAATCCAACAAACAGAATGCAGTGATAAATGGAAACGTGTTCAGACGGAATTCTGCGCTGACACTAGATACCTACATTATAACATATAATTGGTATAAATTTGGGTTGTAATACTCCAGTATATTCAGTATTCACCTTGACATAGTGACGGTATCATGTGGGGTAAAGGATTACTTAGTGTTCATACTTAGTGAAAACAGCAAGCTCTGACATCTTCTTGACATAAACATTTATGGTCTTAATAGATGCTTAACACCCAATTACAAGACCACACAAAGCATATTTTTTTAATATAGAGAAGTACTTTAGTCATTATGCAGAACAGAGTCATTATACAGAGATGGACTAAGATAAAACAGATTTTAATGTGTGCCTTAATGGCACCACCTAATGGGCAAAGGATGTTTTTAAACTTTTAAATGACAAATTACTAGTTCCACAATTCTACTCAATTACTGAGTTCCCAAATAGCATGTCAAATAATCATTAAGAGTAATAAAAATCTCTTATAGGTATAAAGATAGGTAATTTATACTCAAATTCCACATTCAAATAAATATTAAACATACACTTTATGCTCTAAATTAACGTTTAAGTGGACTTCATCTTTCATCTGTAAAATTTCAATCTGTTTCTTTGTGTAATGAGGCAGTACAGAGAGACGTTCTCTGATTCTGATAAAAGGAGGCTGCAATGATGTATTTCCTTTTGACATTTCTCCACTACAGAGATTTCGTGGTAATAAAGTACAGTGACACCTTAATATAATATAAACTAACATTTTCCCATCGGTTTTGTGATCATTCACAGCGTGGAATAGATGTTCTACCACCTTTTATGTATTTAGTCCCACCAAAAGAACATCTAGATTCTAAATACATTAATAAAGAATTAGGAAGAACTGGACCCTAGAAAAAGAGAGCTATAGCCTCCTCTGTTTACACTGCACATCAGTCAGATACTGAGGTGGTCTGTTACAGGAGCCCTCAGAAGGCCCCAAAGCATTCTCGGTTTCCTAGCAACACAGCAAACCTGGTGACGGGAGACACAAAGACAGAGACCTGTCCATAAAGAACAAAGGAGATGCAGAAAGGAGCATGTTTTATATATTTCTACTATAGCAGTAAATGACTACTGTAGTTGCAGTTTAAATATCGATCTGTGGAGTTTTTTTCCCTAGCAACAGGAAGATATTAAATTCTGCCGACAGCTGCCCCGTGTGTCATTGGTTTAACACATTCTGGGATACCATCAGCTCTAGATCCGTTTATGGTTTTTAATTCATTCAAGCCGAAGTGGTGAGAACATTTTTTTTGGTCAATTTTTCTTTCTCCTTTTAAACATGCGCAAGATTGACGGTTATGTCAACTGCACAGCGGAAATGATACTTTAGATGTGTACAAGGTCAGTTGGCGGGAGGCTGTTGCATCACCTCTGTCTTTGTGGATGCAGTTCGAGCAGATTCCTCCATATGCGAGGTGGTGGGTTAATGGCTAGTCTACGTCCTTTCAGGGCTCCTCTGTCTTCACTCAGGCCACTACTTTTGGAGGCTTTCTTCTGGTCTTGTCTGATGTGCAGCCACATCACAGTAGGACCACACAGCTGCAACTCAGTCAGGGTGTTCAGAGGGATTCCCGACAAAGAGGTCGACGCAGGGACTGTGTTCTTTCACCCTATCCCCCCTGTTGCTTTCCACGGGCCCGTTAAAGACTATGAGGTAAGTAAGTGTCTATTTTGTGTTTGTGTTCTGTAGTTATCGTTCACCCAGCCAGTGGTCTCTCGCCTGAGTTGATGCTAATCAGCCACATTCGTTTACATTACGGGGTCAGACAGCAGGGTGGTTAAGCTTACAGGATCAGTTGTGAAGAACATAAGACATATTCCAGAGGAGGAGAGGAGGAGGAGGCCGTGTGGGCCAGCCTAGCCTGTTTGGTAGTTAGTAGTTAAGTGATAAAAGCATCATCCAATTGTTTCTTGAAAACAGCCAGGGCATAAGCTCCAACAACGTGACAGGGTAGCTTGTTCCACACTCTCACTGCCCTTTGGGTAAAACAGTGCTTCATGTTCTCAGTTCTACACAGTATCCACTTGTGTCCTTTGGCTTGTCTTTCACTGTTCGTTCTCAACAAAACCCAGGACTTTTCTCAAAAAGAGTGGTGGTGTTACCCCGGCGTCCTGGCCAAATCTCCCCCCGGCTTTTACCAATCATGGCCTCCTAATAATCCCCATCTATGAATGGGCCTCATCACTTTGAGCTCCTCCCAACTGATTGCTGGTGTGTGGTGAGCGTTCTGTCGCACTCTGGCTGCCATCTATGGATGCTGCACATTGGTGGTGGTGGAGGGGAGTCCCCATTACCTGTAAAGCGCTTTGAGTGGAGTGTCCAGAAAAAGCGCTACATAAGTGTAAGCAATTATTATTTGTATAATTATAATTATTATTATTATCTGATCATCCAGGTGGGGCTGCACATTGGGGGTGGTGGAGGGGAGTCCCCATTACCTGTAAAGCTCTTTCAGTGGATTATCCAGAAATGTGCTATGTAAGTGTGAGGAATCATTATTAATAATTAAATCTGCTGGGCTGATTTTGCCAAAGCCTCTTAAGATTTGGAATTCTGTATCTGTTCTGCTCAGTCTTCGCTGTTCAAGATCTTAAAGATTCTGTTTTTCAGCCTGTGAGTGTAGGACATTCCAAGGCAATAATAATTTACAAAATATTTACACCATATGCTAAACAAAGCCTTACCAATGCATTATACAACTTTTAAACATCCAAACAACATGTGTTTAAGGCTAGACAAAGTTAATCTGGTGAATATCTCTTATGTACCATAGTGTACTTTACAAAGGTGTGTAAACTTCTGTATATTGGTATTTAGTGAAAAAGTAAGTGTAAAGGTATAAACCACAAACACACAAGACCAGTGCCTCTAGGTGGAGGAGATGAGATATGTCTATACTAACTTCCTCTCTCTTTGATATACAGTAGTCTATTTATAGTCCCAATTCTACCAAAGAAATGTGATGTCTTTATAAATAATTTATACTGTAGGCAGAACTATAGATGGCAGACCTTTTAATGTTTTTTAACATGCAGGACTATGTAAACTATGCAGTTGCTATGTAAACTTGTTTGCAGTTGCACTTCCAAATTCCTCCAAAGAAAAAGAAACTGAGATTTCTGCAGTGTTTCAGCTGAGAATTGAGAAGGCTTAACTCTTCAATTCAATTTTCAATGTATTTTTATAAAGCACCTTTCACGACAAGGTTGCCCCAACTACAACATAAAAAGTGCTTTGCTTTTCACCAGCCCCAGAATAGTGGACTGTCCTCCATGTGAACCGATCTGCCTTTGTTTGTTTGATATACAGTACTGTAGTTCTCAAATCATTCGGGTGTGTTTTACTATGCTTGTTATTGGTTAGTGAGTCATGTCTTAAAAGTCTCATCGAAGCAGCAGCAACATAGTAGAGAGGCCTTTTTTAAAAGGGAATTTTTAACAGGTTGCTTGGATGAACCTCTTTGCTTGCCAGGATAGGCTCCAGCTCCCCCACGACCCTGAACTGGATGAAGATGTTACAAGACGGATGAATGAATGGACGGATGGAGGGGGTTGCTCAGAGTGTAAATGTGGCCTGAGAGACCTGTACTGTCAATGACTCTTCACTCACAGGTCTCCCTAGCTGGCACCATCGATAAATTGCCAAGGTGGCTGGACTACAACCCCCAGACTCAGAGCCTGCAGGGCCTGGCGGTCAGCGAGGAGAGAGGGGACTACACCATCGCTGTGACTGCAGTGGGCCACTGCCGACAGGAGCCCTCTCCTTCAACACATTTTCACCTGCACGTTCTCAACGGCACTCACAGTCTCAAAGCCCGCTCCCTCAGGAGGCTTGACTGGCGAAATAAACATACGTAAGAGCGTTTCTTTGCAGTGTTCACGCGTTAGCACACGGGTGGTAGCTCTGGCTGTTGAAGCTGCGTTCCTTTGAAGCAGAGCTAAACCTGGGGGGGATTTACAATCCTTTGATTTACAATTCTACAATACAAAATTATTCTCTTGCCAAGCTATGATACTTCCTCTTTAATAAGAACTCTGCATACCATGAGAAAAACAGTTTTTGCTGACAAAAACACACAGGAAATTATGTCCGGTACAATAACTGAATCCCCCACATTCGCCCCCTGCGTTTAAAAAAACGGGCAGCATACAGATGCATTGTTATGAACTGAATTTACAAATGTGCACTGAATTCTAACACTGTAATAAACCTTACACGTTAATAAAAATCTTCTATCCATTATCAGAAAGACAACGGATCTTGTTATGGGGACACAGACACTATCCCAAGAGAGTAGGGCAAAAGTGATACTGCACACAGGACAGGACACCATTCTATCACAGGGCTCTTTCATTCTAGTATACATATACTGTAATATAGAGGCACCAATTAAAATAGCCAGCATGTCTTTGAAAGCTGGGTGGAAACTAAAGCACCTGGCAAAAACACAGACAAAGAAAGACAAATTAGGCTAACAACAACTACTGTGTTTTTTCATGTACTATGTTTAAGACAGACTTTTAAAACATTGCAGTCTAAACACTACACATATGCTGAGCATCAAAAGAAACATTGTTTATACTGTACCTGCAACAAATTCAAAAACCTCTTATCAGGAAAGTGACAAACTCTTTTTTGCAGAAGCTACCCTGACATTTGATTGGACAGACAAGTCGTAGGTGCATTCATTATACTGTTTCATATCTCCAAACAGGTGGTCTACTGTTGAAATTCACAAGGTTCTAGTGTGTGTTAAACCACTGGAAGCAGTACAAGCTGTACATGTGTGACACCTGCTTTACACCACGTTGCAGATGCAGTCTTGTGGGATTCTGTGCCATTGCTCTTGTAGACCCTGGACAAGCATGTCACAGACTCCCAGGTGTCTCATGTCATCCAGCTCAGCCAGCTGTTCCCACAGTTGTTCAGTGGGAAATAAGTCAGGTGATTAGAGTGTCCCCAGCATGGCTGTCCTCCTCTCAGCTTTGCAAGAAAGTTGGTGTGGCACAAACAGGCTGAGGGTGTCCTGCTGGAAAGTTTTTGCCTCCGGATGAGTCCTCTGGAAGGGCATCAGGTGATTATCCTGATTATCCAGTCAGGCTGCCATGAACAACTACAAGTGGGGCTCTGTATTGACCAGAAACTCCTGCTTCGGTCATCAGATCTGACCCGTCCCCGCCCACTGACTGGTCTTTTGTATGTCATAAGTGTATTGGGCTGCTCATCTACGCCATACACTCACTGTGGTGATTGATCACCAAAGAGGACTTTGCTTCACTGCTTGTCAGTCCACTCCATTTCTTTCTGTGATTTCTTCCTTGATTTTCACACAGCTTGACATTTAAAAAGTTAAAACACCTCATTATCTGGGCATAGCTTGCTCTCTCACTAATGAGGTAACTTCATGCTTAGGCATAGTCACTCGAGTGTCTCACTGTCATCAGGTCATTAAACAATTAACTAATATCCAATGGCCTTATACTTCCACTTTAAAAAACATACAGATATGCAAATAACACTAGGTTTCTTTTAATGCTCAGTATTGGATCTAGCCTTCTTATATTTAAGATTGAATACATTTAGAACAGTAAAAGGGCTTTAAGATTTTTTATTCAGAGCTCCTACAGCTGCTTGTTTCCATAGTTGCTGTATGTCCTTGCTTGACTCCCGAGTCCTGACTCTTTGGCTTTTTCTGCTCCGTATCTTCACTGAACTGCGGTATCTAGCTATCGGTGTTGTTTTGGTAATAAGCAAGCTCAATTAAAAACTGCTTGCAACAGAAATTAACTGAGAGAGTTGAACAACTCCAGTGAACAGGCTCCTTGTATAGCCTGAGCAGTTTCTGTGAAGAAATAGCAAAGAGTTTGGCACATGCATTGCTAGGGTCTTAATGTTTCCTGAAGATTGACAGATTCACAACTGTTTCTGGAAAAAATGAACCTATAATATGCAAAAGGGAAACAGCTCTCCTATCATGTACTAAATGATATCGTAATAAATGATAATAAACACACAAGATAAGTCTATTGCAACAAAATGCTGGCAAAAGAAAAAAAGGACAAAAATTAAAATATTCAACTCACTATTTTAAGAAGTGGTTGAGTATTAAACGTGCTACTACAATACATTTTGAAGCGTATGTGAATATATAGCATATGTATTTGTTTTAAACAGGAAAAGCTCTCAGGGATGCCCTGCAGGCGAAACAGTCACATACTCAGCTATCATCCTGCAGGCTGATGTCTTCTCCCTGAGTGCTGGCAGGCGTTTGCTCCTCGTCTCCACAATGGGGGAGTACCTGCGCCTTGACCCCTTCTCCCTCAAGCTACGCTCCTTCAGGAGCCCCTCAGAGCTCCAGCTGGAGAACAGCACCCTCCTGACAGAGGACACTGGTATCGGGGACTCCCCTGACACACATGCCGCCGTGGAAGTTTACTGGCCAGTGGGCTGTGGAGATTTTCAAATGGTTTCTGAACTAGTTCGGGTGCTGAGGTACAGCAAGGACTCAGGACACCTTTCCCACCTGCTGGGCCTCCACCTGACAGGCTGGAGGGTTTTCACCTGGGGAGGAGGCGGGTCTCAACACAGGAGGAGGGAGCGTCGACAACTCATTAATACCCCTACCCCAGTGATGACACCAGTCGCACCTACCTATGTTTCAGCAACCCTTCCCATGAAACCCAGTTATTCCTACATAGGTATGACCACAATATCCACATATGTGCGAGACACAGAAAATATTAATAATGAGGGTTATCCCACAGGGATTTCAACCTCCATGGGTTCAACTACAAGGTCATCTGAAGACAAGAAAAAGGACGTTTCTTCTGCACTGAAATCAGAGCTCACTAGGCCCAATGAAGAGTTCTCTACAATGTATCTCAGGCTCTGTCCTTCAGGTCTCTTTACTCCAGACTATTTGGCAGAAGACCTAAAGATATCAACTACAGACACGGGACACATGACTATCGCAACACGTATAATGGTAGGCCAGAGCCAAGAAACCTCATTGCTTTCCCAGATGTCACCACTACAGACCTCTTCTCAAACTATCCAGAGTTATTATTCACCAGCTGTGCTTTGTTCAGTCTTTCTAGCATACAGCAGTGATTTAAACCTCATGGGCCTTGAATCCCAGCATGTGAAGAGCATCTCTCTTCAGACAGTACTGTCACGTTCCGAAACGTCTGAATTAGTGATTGAGCCAGAGTTTAGCTCAACAGGGACACACATGAAACTAACTTCAAAACCCTTTATAGATCTTCTGACGCCACCGGCTGAGGACTCCTGGCCAATGCTCCACTCTGAAGATGCAGCAACAACATCATATCAAGTGACGTTGGGAAAGTCAACCATGTCAACCAGTAGCGTGCAGCAAAGCTGGCATACAGCAGCTTTCCAAATGCAGAGGACGTCAGTTTTGTCCAGCACTTCTTCCACAGTGTCAGTGGTTTTAGTCGCTGCCCCTGGCACACCAATGACTCAGATTTATTACACGGACACTGATAGTATAAGCCTATTCCCTACACTTACTCGAAAGGATGCTCCTGAAAGCATTCTAATGGCTCCTGACAGTGAAAACCTTTTTAAGAGGACCTCTACGATACCTACAAAATCAGCTCAGTCACATCAGAACACGGAGACAATTGGTATGTACAGAAGGTTTTAACCTCTTGTTTTAAAATATTCTGTTGTCATTCTGCATTGTGCATTGCACTGAAATTCATTTGATTTCATGTTTGGTAGGGAGAGTTTGTCGTTTCAGTCAAAACTCAGAGCTAGAGAGTCATCTGTTTCCTTTGCAGAACTGACTAACAGAGAAAGGTATACCAAAAGGTATTTGTATAAGAAAACTATTTTAAAGAGAACTATACAAAAATGTATTTGGTCAATACATCACATCCCTGAGAAGTTCATAAAGAACATGACATGTAACTGTTTTCCATCCCCTGGTATTCTGCTGTGTTCATTGAATTCTATATTATTTATGCAATCCAGGGCAAGATGCTTTCAGCCAAGGCAGCTCCAGGGAGAATCTGGTGACTTCAGAGAGTGCACACAGTGAAAGACCCCTGCAATCACCTCTCGTGTCTCAACACACCAGTCTAGAGGCTTTGCTTACAGATGCGTTGACTGTCCGAACACCAAGCATGATGCATTCGGCAATAGGTCCTGCAGAGTTTGAGGAAGATGGGATAACTGAAACTCACGATCACTCCATGCTGCTTCTCAGCCCAGCAACAAGCTTTCCTATAATAACCGAAAGCCCATTTCCTTTCTTCGGAGAGGTCAGCCAAGATATAGGATTACTAAAAGATTATTCAGTGGATACTATTGCATTACCCTCACAAGACGCACCTCATCTCAGATTATCCTCAGTTTTGGAGCCATCCTTACTTTTAATCGCCGTAAGTTACAACGACTTTGTTCTCTCCAGACTCTCAGATTCTGTGACAATTCAGACAAAGGCCATGCCTCCTCCCAGCACTTCAGAGAACCCAGAATCTTGGCTGGATCTGACTCCAATACCATATCCCTCAACCCCCTCTCTTTCACCTGAAGTGGATCCACCTCAACTTGTTCAGCCAGTGTCTGAAGTAACGCGGCTGTGTGAGAGGCTAGACGCAACTCCATCATTGCCGTTTATTGAAATGACTTCGAGCAAACTGGTGAGATACTCCTTTCATAGCATATTAGATGATTCCAAACAGCCAGCAACCCCACAGGGAACAATTTCTTTAACAAGGACTCATATAGAGGAACTAGAAAAGTCAGTGTCAGAAGATTTTGTTACAAAGTCCTTTTGGCTACAGATGCAGAGTCGAACCCCCTCATGCTGTGTCTCTATCACTCCATCTTTACCATCAGGACATATTCTGCTGACACCCAGGACTGCAGCCACCACACCAATGGACATGTTCAGGCCCCTAAAAACTTTAGATCACTTGACGTCATTTTACATCTACCACTTCCCCAGTGTATCAACTCGGTTGAAGGAAGATGAAACAACGAACCCGGACTTGGAGTCAAGCCTGACAAAACCTGCAACCGGTGCAGAATCTTTCATTCCAGTTTTAACACCAGCTGTTGAGGTCGCTGCTCCAAGCCCTACAGAAGGAGTTTCCATCTTAACCTCTCCAACAGAAGTCCCAACATTTTATACTGCAACAAGAGTCCCTGCTGTGCCAGAAACTCCAAGAACACTCCCCAGAACCTTGTCCACTTTAAATCTGGTACCCACTTCCCTGAACCAGCAACAAATTAGCTTCGGCTTCACAAGCACATATTTCTGGCAGATCACTTCAGAAAGCAGTGTTACTCCCCCCATTAGAATACCTGTATCCAGTCAATCCAATACTCACTTCACAAGGTTTTCTCTGCCACTCTCTGCTGTGCCTGCTAACTATACACTGCTAAATCCAGGGGTGTCCAGCACTTCAATGCTCCAAATAGAAGATATCAGGCTTTCGAGCCTCCATGGATCATTTTCCTTCTTGACACTTGGTCCTGTTACCTACACCTCTGGCCAGCTTCCCTCCTTCTTGGTTTCGGCGGTTTTAGGAGAGACGACAAAAAGTTATAGCTCTGTCAAGGACATTCTCTTCACAACTCAGTTGCCCTCCCTGTTACCAGGCTATGCAGGTAAAATAATGAAAACAATGTTAACCATCTGCAGTGTTTTTAAACACCGTGCATTTGTACTTCAATATAAATGTTTTACAATAAGTGCTGCCTAATTTAACTTTGTGAGTAGAATTGCTTGATTATCTCTTTATGAAAAACGGTTACCAACAACAAAAGCTTCCTTGATATTAAGACGCTGTCACTTCTTTACAAAGCATTTTCTCTTTGTATCTGGGTTATAAGTTTTATCATACAGAGAGCGTACACTATTTATCAGAAGAGCAATTTAAATGACCCAATACCAAGAGTATGAATCAGGCTTGTGAAATCTACAGCTTTAAGGCTTTAGCAAGGAATAAAAAGCGATTGCATTAAAAATAAGCGTGCAGTTTTATTGTTTTTCAGATATTCCAAACATCTCGCCCTTCGTTCTAAGGCCTATCAAGCCCCTGATTGCCACAATCGGGCTCCTGTTTGAGTTCAGCATACCGGCAGACACGTTCTCAGATCCAGAAGATGGGACTGCAGACAACTTAACGATGAAGATCAGGCCTTCAGACGGGTCTCCCTCTGGCCCAGAGTCCTGGTTGACACTGGACCACAAACAGCGACTCCTGTCTGGTTACCCACTAGACAGTGACATGCTGTACTCACCCCAGGAACTCCTTCTTATAGCGAGGGACTCAGGTGGTCTTTCAGCTGAGCTGCCTTTTACCATAGAGCTTCGTCATCCTCTCTCCGAGCCCTGCCACACCTACACCATCAGGACTATGAACAGCTTCCACTCTTTCGTCAAAGACAGGCGGAAGATTGAACTGTTTCTCAATAAAATGGCCAAATATTTCAATGACACAGGCAGCAGTCACATCTCCGTGTCCACCCTCCAGCCGGGTTCAACTGTAGTATCGTGGCACAATGTCACCTTGTGTCAGGAGGACAAGAAAGCTCAGAGCCTGTGCCCAAAACATAACATCCAGGGACTGCTGTCTGCAATGCAGACTCTAGAGGGCGACGTGGAGCCATCCTTCGCTCAGGCCATGCTCCCAGAATTCAGGATCAGGTCAGTAGGGAACGTGACCTATGGGGGGATGTGCCTGCGTGGATCTGACCTGGAGTATCCAAGCCCTACTGGTGCCATTGCCCATTCCGACAGGTATCGTTGGATACCAACCCTCGTGATCGCTTTGCTCACTGTGCTTGGCTTGTTTCTATCGCTGGTCCTGATGGCAGCCATATTCCGCTCTTGCAAAGCATGTGAGTGTATCATACATTCTGAATCTATTTCTCTGTGGCCTTCGGACAGACCGTCCTGCTCAAGCTGCCACCTTGAACTGGACACATTAAAGCCGAGGAAGCCACCTCTGTTCCTCCAGAACATTCCTCCTCCGCCTCAGCAGCTGTGGGTGAACCTGTCTCATCCACCTCAGGAACGGCTGCACAGAAGGCCCTTAACCCACACACAGAGGCCGTACCAGAGGAGCACGGTGCCTTCCCAGTCTCCTCCTAGGTACCAGCTTCCACCTCCCTATGTTCTCAAAGACCAGCCACCACAGAGGAATTCCAGTCAATAAAACATGACCCTCAGAACTAACTGTGTAACATGTTATTTTGCTACACTATTACTATGCCAGCCATAGAAAGGATTTTACTAATTTCATATCGTCTTCACAGAGTGTGGACCTAAAACATTCCGTGTCCTACATACAGGTTATTTTTTTATCTTCCATACATTGTTTTGCGAGCATAAGATCATTTTGTCCTCAGCTACTAGAGAACACCATTTTATAAGATACATTTTGCTTTTAATTAAAAATATCAAATCAACCACATTCTTACCGTTAGATTAAATAAAAAAGCCCACTCCAAGGGAGATGATGTGCTGCATTTTGGGCCTTGAAACAAGAGCTACACAGTAAAAAGACCAATTGAGGAGACTATGAGCCACTGACTTTATTTTTTGTCACAAAATCTGCAAGCAACCTTATAAACACACTTCTGTAAAATGAAAGACATGAAAATGGTCTTTCAGGACATAAACAAAAGGCTGTTTCATGTAATTGGTACACTGGATTTGTACACAGTATGTCAACAATAAAAAGCTGGAGCTGGGCAGGATGCAGTCAATCTGTGTTAACCAGCTTGTTATCCACCCATCTCCAGACAGCTGCTTCCTCCTGGTAAAAGTAATGGCAACCCCGAGCCTGTCCTCAAAGCACAGGTCTACTCTCCAGAGGGGACAGCACTCACAGTGACAATTTAGAGTCACCAATTAACTTAACCAGTATGTCTTTGGGAGGTGGGAAGTAACCAAATTTAAATGTTGGAGAAAACCCCCAGTGAACACAGGGAAACCATGCAAACTCCACACAGAAGGGTCTCGGCGGGGAAGCCAAGCCAGGACCCGAGAGCTGTCAGGCTACTAACCCCCACTCCACCGCACCCCTTTCTTATAGTTTCATACTAAAATAATGTCCTGTACAAGTACAACAAGGCTGCACCAAGTATGCAGGTCATTACTGAAAGTTCGTTCTTTGTTCTTTCATGTAACGGTCTTCATTATCTGGTAGCTTTTCCATTTTCATGAGTGTCCACCCTGCAAGCAGAGCAATAGAATATACAATATTTCATGTATTTTTATCATATTCATTCATTGATAAAAATAATATTCATTATAAAATATAAATAGAAAAAATAAAATAGTTATATTACTTAGTTATATTACTTTTCATAGCCAATATACTAAAGCCTGATTTGGGAAAGCAGGTAAATTCACAAATTTCTTCTGAGCAATTGGTCAAGTGGCTGAGAAAGGCAGGTCATTCCCTATTGCCCTATGGGTAATACAGTATGCCATAAATATTAGATTAACTTAAAATTATGTCATAAACATTTAATTGATATCACAAATCTGTAAGGGTTATTTTTCTGAAAACATGAAAGAGTGACGTGTTTCAGTAATCCGGACAAAAATACAAACCCATTTTCCTCTTTGAGATGTTGGTATAATTCCACTTTGTTGTTCACAGAGCTTAATCGTCCTGCAAATTCCTGATGCTTCCTCGAATTGGCTGCATTTATCCTGTTGGTCCACAGTGTAAATAACGAGACAGGACCTACAATTACAACACTCAGTTTTCATTAACTGAACATTTTTTGGTGCCGAGATCATTTACTGACAGCAAATATACATTTCAACTCTAAATCAAAAGGCAGTAGTTTTGTACTCATCTACTGCTCATGATACAACAAAATAAACTGATACTGACAGAGGCAACTTTGAGAATTTTAAAAAAATCTCTTGATCTCCCTATTAAATGTAATTTGTATTGCTCTACGGCAGTAGTTCACTATCCTTGGCCTGGAGTATCTATGTCTGCTGGTTTTTGTTCCAACTGGTGGCTGTAACAGATCTGCGCTCAGTCCTTTATTTAAAAAAAAAAGTGTATTAAAAAAGTGTATTATTTTTAACAGTATCAGGAAACAATTTTATGCTGTCTCCCCTTAACCAGCCAATTAAGATTTTTTCCATGCTTTATTACTGAACAACTCTTAACGGGTAATCAACTGATGATGCTCAGACACAAGTGGAAAGAACACTGTATCAGACGCCCCCACAGTGTGTGACTTCTTCCTTCTGCTGAAGTCCATCAGAGTTATATTTCAGCTAACTCACATGAATGAGAGAAGTCCTGAAATTTAGCACAAGGCAATTCACACCAATTAACGATCTCATGCAGAGTCGGTAGTTTACCTGATGAAAAGGAAGTGCGGTATTAAAACTCAGGTGCGTCAGCAGTGAGGAGCAGTGGTTAGGTTTCTGGACTTGTAAGTGGATGGTTATGGATTTAAATCCCAGGTGAGATGCTGGGACTATACCCTTGAACAAGGCACTTCACCTGAATTGCTCCAGTAAAACATTTAGTTGCATACATGGATATTATTGGATACAAATATTAGCCAAATGAATGAGCCAAACAGTACCTTTAGCTTTTTCCACTGGCTGTATTTCCTCCATTGCCAGACGGGGCTTTTTGTTCAATGGCTCAGGTGAGTCTGGGGAGTCTTTGATGACTTCTGCTTCGATCGACTCCTCCTTCTCCCGGTCCAATGCCCCCTTCAGCCTGAAACAGAAAGAACAGCAAAATGCTTCACTTCTACCCCAACGGTCCAATATCATCTTCCTGGCAACAGAACAGACACACAAGTTACACCA